AGATAAATGAAATCATTGACTAGCTCTGGACCTTTCTGGCTTATTAGGGTACATTAACCCTGTACTCACTAACAACAGAAGTTATTTAAAAACTTACAAAAAAGGCTTAAATTAAGTTGCTTTCCTAGATTTTTAAGCATCTAAGATGTGAAAAATATGCCTTAAGGTCACTATCTCTGTCTTTTTTTTCACCAATTTGCCAAGACTAAAAAAGTTTTTCCTTTTGGTTTCATTTCCTATAAATGATGCAGTATATACACCCTACTCTTGTGGTAAACACCCTGGCACAACTAAAATTAATTTTAAAAGTAATAGTAATATAAAAATTTATTTAAGCATACACTAAATATTTTGAAATTCATGTTGAGTAATAGTGTTCCTTCTCATTATTAAGGGATTTGTGAATACAGGGTTATTTTCTTTTAGTTTTGAAGTTGCACAAACATAAGGGATCAAATAAAATAAAGCCTCAAAGAGTTCTAAGTAAAAGCAGGAATGGAAAGAAAGCCCTAAAAACAGAAATCAATGTCTCTTGCCTAAAACCTCATTGATCAGATTCTTTGGCAATTATTAAAATGAAAATGTCATAGAGATTTTAAATAACTCTACACAAAAATTACTTACTCTGTAAAGTTAACTTAAACCCACTATAGTTATTAGAGTTTATACAAAAATGGCATGCAATGTTTTGCTAAACTGCAAAAGTTAACTACACATTATCACTGAACATAATCACACAAAAATTACTGAAAATGATTGGCAGATGAATAATATTTAATAAAAATGGAGAAAATGAAGCAGTGCTTTGGATGATTTGTGGTTATGCTTCATTTATTCATAATAGGTCTATTTCTTAAAAAATTTCCAGGCCAGGCACAGTGGCTCATACTTGTAATCCCAGCACTCTAGGAGGCCAAGGAGGGTGGACCGCTTGAGGCCGGGAGTTTAAGACCAGCCTGGGTATCATGGCGAAAACCCATCTCTACTAAAAATACAAAAATTAGCTGGGCATGGTAGCATGTGCCTGTAGGCCCAGCTACTTGGGAGGATGAGGCGGGAGAATCACTTGAACCCTGTAAGTGGTTGCAATGAGCTGAGAACACGCCAGCCTGGGCGACACAGTGAGACTCTGTCTCAAAAAAAATTTTTTTTCCAAAGACAGTATTCGATAACCCATAATTTTATTTGTAACTGATTAACTACTGTTCCTTAAATAGGTTCCTAAAATAATTATATGTACCTTAAGCAAATTATCTTTTTGTCTCAGAAGAAACCACCATGTATCGGAAAATTGTTCTTAATTCATTCTACGCTATACAATTCTGGTTAATTTATCTCTTTCCTATAATCTCAAAATTATCAGTCTTGTTTATGGTTTTCTGATCTCCTGTTGGAACTGAAATACAGATCAACAAACATCATTTTGAGACACTGCTTTACTCCTTATACAAATCAGTGCTACTTTCCTCTCACTTTTTAAAAAGGTATTACTCTCATATTAATTTTGATTTACTTCTCAATATAAAGTCTAGAACCAAATATAAAGTAAGTTTCTCTTCATCTCACACTTGTGTAACTCACTTTCATTTCCAGAAAATCACTTTTTAGTGATTCACTGCTTACGAACAGAAACCGTAGTACTCACACAGAATCAAATAAATCTTTATACTTGCCTAGGTATGGAAGTTAGTTACCCAAGTCATCAGAAGACAGTCATTATCCGCAAAGTGCTCAAGAGCTAATAAGTGAAATTTACTCACTGTGATGTATTTGACTATAACTTCAGATGTGTATTAAACTTACAAGAATAAACTTATGGTAAACCCACTATTTTTTCTCAATAGCCCAATCAGTCTATCCTAGACAGTTATATACATATGCCACGACAATATTCCATACGGCAAATTTCAAATAACCTAATTCAAAGATTAAAGTAAATTATTATATATCCCAACCACTTCTGTACTTATAAGTTCATCATCAAATTTATGCTTATCAAATTATTCTCTTTAAAACTCTAAACCTCATTTTTACAGGTTTCACTAGCTAATCTGCAAATAAACTGGCTCACGTATAAACCAAACTGGTTTCTGCAACTCCCAGTAACATCTTTCTCTTGCATTTTTTTTCCTTTAAATAAGAGAAAATGTGAGGATAAACTTGCACATTCTGCTCGTATCTAAATATGTGGTCCTCAGTTTACTTTTATTTAAAATGAAAGCACCTAAATGAATCAAATTTATGAACCTCTTGTATTTAGTTGTGGTTCATACCTGCAATCTTTGGGAAGCCAAGGTGAGAGGATCACTTGAAGCCAAGAGTTCAAGATCAGCATGAGCTATATAGTAAGACACTGTTTGTACCTATACAGCTACACACACACACACAACGATTTACATTAATTTTGTCAAAAAGCAAAAACACACTTACTTAAAAATACCAAACTTTATAAACACCCACAATGCACATACTGCGCCTATCATCCTGTAGTGTCAACAAGACCAATTATTACTCCATATACAAAAACATGATATTAATGAGAAACGATGACACTTATATTTTAACTTACAGACCTATAGATTTCTATTTTAAGGAAATCCATTTTTTAAAATAAGGTGGTAACAGGTTGGGTGAATTTTTAAATGCTCTTTAACTTAAAATAGGGAACAGAGACTTATCTGTCATTACCGCAAGCCAAGGTAAACATGGGTGTCCTAGGAAATGTCCAATTTCCCTACAGTAATAAACATTAACATTATAATAAAAACAATAACATTTTTGTTGGGGGGATGGAGTCTCACGTCGCCCAGGCTGGAGTGCAGTAGCACCGTCTCAGCTCACTGTAACCTCTGCCTCCTAGGCTCAGGCAATCCTCCCACCTCAGCCTCCTGAGTAGATGGGACCACAGGCACGCCACCACGCCCAGCCTATTTTCTGTATTTTTGTAGAGAAGGGATTTCACTGTGGTGCCCAGGCTGGTATCGAAGTCCTAAGCTCAAGTGATCCTCCCTCCTTGGCCTCCCAAAGTGCTAGGATTACAGGCATTAGCCACCCTGCCAGGTCAACAATAACTATTATTAAGTCATTTGAAGATTCTATTTTTTGATATAATGAAACAAGTATATATTTACATCCTTGGGGATTTCTATCATATAAACACAGCATATAGCCCACCAAAAAGGAAAGAGACTAAGACTTAGATCAAGGTTAAGGTCCTAAGTCTGCCCCACCTATTAGCTTAACTGAAAATGATCCCGATATCACAGCCTTTTGTTAGAAGTAAAGAGCAGAGTTAAGAAGGTTACTAAAATTTAATATCTCATAAAGATGAAATTCTTAAGATATTTAAATAGATCAAGATAAAATCCCTATAACAAAATTACTGTCCATTTTACAGATAAAGATACTGAGGTGCAATGATTTAAATTAATTCTCCTCAAAGTCATATCGCAAATTGAGTGGTGGAACTGTGACATAACTCAGATCTAAATCTTACTGCTCCTTCCACTACGTCATACTGAAGAATATGAAATAAACACTCTATAAATTATATACTGTTATGGTAATAGTGGGAAGTGAAAATATTTTTTATTATAATGAAGAGGCACACTATCCTTCCCAAAAAATAAGGACTTTTAAATATGTTACATATTCATATATTTAAGTTATTCTAGATGCCACTTGATATGGCCGACAAGTGTGAATATCTCCACATACATATTGAGTATCAGCAGTCAGTTAAGCCTCAAGTGGACTTATCTACTTTTTGCAGGCCTATGTTATTCTTTAAACAGAAGGGCTGCACTTCCAACAGAAACGCTGCCGGCTTCTATCAAGCCACCACTAAAGCACAAGACCACGTGGTCTCTCAGAAGCCCAAGGTTCCCTACTCCTCTCCCTCCTTTGACAAGGAACTGGAAATTAGGGTTTCTCTTATGTGGAGCCCTGACATGCCACCTGTGTAATACAGACCACAAACATCCTGCAGCCTGCCTCCCGGAAGACTACAGGAATCAGAATAAAAGGGAACTTGGACGCCGACAATTCTAGGAAAGGAAATGAACGAACAGAGAAGTTAAGCCGGTGAGACTGTGATAAGCCGCAGCACCCGGACCTGTCAAAACAGCTTTTAAGACTCAAGCCGAACCACTATAACCTATCATTCGGGAAGGCCTGAGGTGGGAGCGGCACTACGGAAGGAAGGAGGACGAAGAGAACCGCACGAGTCAGAGCCGCCGCGGCCGCCGCCGCCGCTTCCCGGATACCTTTCAGCGTGCCCCAGCAAGCCACGAACCCTGACTCTCATCTGGAGTCCAACCTTTGCCCCCACATTTCAGAACCAGCCAAAATCCTGCTGCCCAGGGCGGCCGCCGCCGGACCTGCCCGCACCTGTCACTAGCTAAAGACACCAGTTCGCGGCTCCCGCCCACTTCTCCACTATCCTCGGGAAACCGCGAACATCTCAACCCCTTTCTCTTACCAGGTGTCCCCTTTCCGGAGCGAGGTTTTGAGCAGCGTAGCGATGTCAGACCGCTGGGTGTCCAAATCCGCCGCTCCGCCTTCCGCCATCTTCTTCCACTAGCGGTAGGGGAGGTGGCAGAGACGGCGGCGGCACGCCCCAGAGCATTATGGGAATGGCGTCCCATGGCCCCTCCCAGTCGGCCGGTCGAAACCAAAAAGCACTGGAAGCGGGGGTGGTCCCTGGGACAAGAGGAGGCCCCGGGGGCGGGCTGCGTGCGCGACCGTGGTCTGCTGCCCCCCATCGGTCCCCGCCCGTCCAGCATCTTGCCTTGGCCTCCTCCGGCCGGGGACCGCCAGGTTTTAACTCTCCTCGCCGCCAAGGGCTCCTGCGCTCTCTCGCTAGAGCGATGCCACCGCCCCGTCCTCCCTCCTCAGCATTGCCTTCCCCTCCCTCTTTCCCACTGACGCCTTGAAAACCCTTATTTGCGCATTCACTCACGCTTGAGGGTGAGGTAGGGTGGGGCGGGGGGCGTGGGGACGGCTAAGATATGGCAGAAAATTTAGCAGCTCCGTGACTGGGCTTTTCGTTACAAGTAGCAGAACCCAAGCTCGGTGAACACGGGCACCCACAGAAAACATTCCGAAACTGAACGCTTAGCCTCCATGCCCTTCCTGGGTTCCTTCCAGCGCTCTTACTCCTGGTGTAGGTGGGGACCCCTTTATAGGCTCTTTGTGGCTCCTCCCCAGGCACACCCAGAAGACTAAGCTGCAGTAGAAAACAAGTTCCAGTTCAGCGGTGAACACGGAGTAGAATATGGGCAGTATTGAATAATGCCAGATACTAAAGGAAGAAAACGTGTGAGAAACCCTCTTCATGTAAGAGAGTAATATTTTCTTAACCTCGTCTTTCTAGGGTGCTGTACACCTGAAATGAAACTAGATCATACTGTCTTTAATTTGAAGTCAACAATTATGTTTCAAGTTAGACAATTGAGTCGCTTAAAAATCAAATGCCAAGGTCACACAGCAGGTGGAGAGGTAAGAGGAGAGGCTGGTTCAAGAACCCACGTGGTATGCAATATAGCACACTCACTGCCTCTTCTTATGAAAGCCTGAACTAAAATGTAAACTCCTTAAGAGCTGGAACTGGGTTCATCTTTTGTTTTGTTTTAACCTCTGTGCACCTGGTGGATAGCACAGTACTCCTCGACATGAATAAATCACCTAAATATTTGTTTAATAAATGAATTGTGGCAAAGTTACTTAAGTATTCCCGAGCATGATGTCTAGGGGTTTGCTTTTAACATACCATATTGATGTCAAAAGTCTAAAAGATGGGCTAGAATCCCCACATCATTTCTCTTGTTTCCCCATTTTAAACCCTAACTCATTTGGTAAGAATGCAATAAAGATAGATGTAGTTATGCTGCTAGGAAAAGCTGAATCCTTCCAAGTGAAAGTAGTATATATTGGCATTATGATTTGTGTATATCAGTATTATGATTATGATTGCGTATTTCTGGATAATAATACTGTTTTGCATTATCATGCCAACCTTGAATTGAAAGTTTTAAAACAGCTTTCAGTGACTGCTATTTCTGGCTTTTCTCCTGACAGGTTAAAAGATTAAGAGTTTCCTTAACCACAGCTACTCTCTAAAAGTCAGATTTTCCCCCTCCAGTCACTCTCTGAAAGAGAACAAAATAATTTTCTGAAAGGAAGCCGCATAACATGGAAAACATGTTGGAGCCACATGGACGTAAGTTGAAACCTCACTTCAACCTTTAGCTGCAAAGTTCTTACCATTTAATTAATCATAAAATTGAGTATAATAATATCTACCTTAAAGGATTTTTATGAAGATTAAATGAAACAATGTGTGTTTATTGCCTGGGACATAATAGCCATTCAGTAAACACTAGTATCTTTTATTGATGACAGGGTGAATTGTGCAGTATGTGAATTATACTTCAAAAGTCTATCAAAAAAAAGTGTTAGGGGCTCTGAAGGCAAAACTGCTCTCCTTCATTTTATAAACATAACATGTAGCAATAAATCATTCATACCCTAATGTCCAATTTCCCTTAAAATAAAACGCATTTTTTGAAGTATTGACACCTACAACCATACAACAAAGTAAAGTAATATTTTCTTCACTTGCACCATGCTTAAGGCAGCAAGTTAACTGAATATAGATGTGTAAATTCAATGCCAATTTGAATTACACATCAGATTTCCGGGGCCTTTTTGTAGACCTAACTAATTGCCATGAAGAAAGAGATAAAATTATGTTACAGTGTTTTATTTAGCAAACACAGAGTGCCTAGCATGGTTCTAAACACTTTAAAGTACTAACTTAAATCTCACAGCAATCCCATGAAGTAGGTACTATTATTATTTCAAATCAATAGATGTGGAATTGAGGCAAGTAAGTGGCAGAACCCAAATTGAAACCAGTCTGGCTGCAGAATCTGGGAAGTTTGGATAAATTTCTATTTTTCTATTGACCTTTGTTGTTTTGTTTATAGCAATCAACTTTTTAGTGACCTCAGTTGATCAATTTAGGGAAATTCTGCTTATTTTACTGGTGCTTCTCTCAATTATGAAGATAAATAAGATATTGTTCATAAATTGGGTAAGGTCCTCATCCCTACTGAATAATTAAGTAGATAAATTGATGAGAAAAGCTACTTCACCTTAATCACAGATAACTGAATATAAATCAGGTATTATATCTGCTTATTTAGAATGAATGTCTTCACTGATGCATTCCTTAGTTAACTTTTGATGAATGTACAATTTGCTTGGTGATTTTTATTACCTTCTCAGACTCTCTGTGCCTTTCTTGTCAATTTAAAACTTAACCTACAGAGTTGAGTATGTTGAGTACTTTAGACATTAGGCTTGATATGAACAAGCTGGACTTTGTAATGTCACAGTTGTGAAATTAGAGATTCTCCAGGAAGGATTTCTTTATCCTCTAGTAATTCCAAACCTCTCTACTTACTGATGTTTAAACAATTCCTTTAAGAGAGATTCTTTTACTCAACAGTTAAAAAATGGGACTTCAAGTGTAAATACTTCAGGAGACAGTCAGGCTTAACACTAAAGTGTCAAAGAGAGCCAGTTTTCAGCCTGGGGTGAACCAGAGAAAAAATAAAAAGCACTGCATTTTGTAATATAGTTTAATGGAGGAAAGCACAAAGGAGAATTCCAAGATAAGCTTTCCGTACTTTAAATTTTGTGTGGGAATGGCTACATGAGCTGAAGGGAAAATCTGCCTAAAATTTGAGTGTACTTAGCAAATCACACATACACACTTTGATTTTGCTTAGCAAATCACACACATGCACACACACTATCTATCTATCTATCTGTCTATCTATCTATCTATCTCCCTACCTACCTACCTACCTACCTACCTACAAAATCAGCACACCCCATAAAAGAACAATGTTTGATGACCTGGCTGTCTTTATTTCGCAACTCTTCCTGTCTTTAATATTCAGGAACCACCATCTCAGTTTTTTCTTCTTGTCCTTCCTCTACAGTTATTCCCACCCACAGCCCTACCACCCCCTCATTCTTACTCACCCCTCTAAACCTTTCATTCTTTTATCTTACGTAATTGTATAATTATCATCTCTCTTTACCAGCTCTCAGAGTAGCTAAAAGGCAGTGGAAAGGCGGGGGAGTAGTGCAAACACCAAAATAGCATGTAGTAAAGTGCTTAATCTGTTAATGATATTTTGAAACTTGTGATATGAATAAAAATTGTAAGTGCTATGAGGCAGTTTTGAAAGTTAAAAAAAATTACAGAGGGTCCTTATTTCAGACAAATGTTAGGTTCTGATAAAGAGAATGAGAATACAATAAGATGAACACACTGCCTTTTACAAAGAGCCACTATACTTGGATTTTGACTCTGGCTTAGTGCCATTAGCTAGCTGGTAACCTTGGCTAAGTTATTTAATCTGTGTGACAATTTGTTTTCTTATTATAAAATAAAGTGATTAGATTTCGGGGACTGAAACTCAAATACTTGCAGGGTTAGATACAGCTAATGTGAATGGGTGAAGCAAATCTGTTGGGGATAATAAGGAGCTGTGGGGACTGTTGAACTGTCTATCCTAATTAAAGGTCTAAATTTAAAAAATTAGAGCAAACAAAATTATATTTTCTGTCCTATAGGATCTAGAAAGTTTAATTTTAGCATGGTCATAAAGTCTACAAATTAATTAATCTAGGTTCCTACTTTATATCCTATTTTATTTTATTTTATTTTATTTTTAAGACAGAGTCCAGCCTGTTTCCCAGGCTGGAGTGCAATGGCACTATCTTGGCTCCCTGCAACCTCCTGTCTCCTGGGTTCAAGCGATTCTCCTGCCTCAGCTTCCTGAGTAGCTGGGATTACAGGTGACTGCCACCATGCCCGACTAATTTTTGATTTTTAGTAGAGACAGAGTTTCACCATACTGGCCAGGCTAGTCTCGAACTCCTGACCTCAGGTGATCCACCCACCTCGGCCTCCCAAAGGGCTGGGATTACAGGCGTGAGCCACCGTGCCCAGCCTATACTCTTTCTAAGAAGTCCATAAAGCATCCAAAAAGCTGATGCTACCATGAAATTTGCTATCAATCTGCCCTGTAGTGGACTCTCATTACATGCTGATAGAACTAAATTTATTTGTATTTATTTATTTATTGAGATGGAGTCTTGCTCTGCAGTGGCCTAGACTGGAGTGCAGTGGTATGATCTCGGATCACTGCAACCTCCGCCTCCCAAGTTCAAGTGATTCTCATGCCTCAGACTCCTGAGTAGCTGGGATTACATGTGTTAAGCCACCAGCCCAGCTAATTTTTTTATTTTTAGTAGAGTTGGGGTTTCACCACGTTGGCCAGGCAGGTCTCGAAATCCTGACCTCAAGTGATCCACCTGCCTCAGCCTCCCAACATATTGGGATTATACGCATGAGCCAGTGTGCCTGACCAGAGCTAAATTGATTTGAATTGATAAGCAAATCAAGTGTCTAACAGGTCTAGAATTATAATAAAATAAAATCCTTAATAGACATAGTATATATTCTGTGGGTTCTGCATATTTAAAAATTAAATGTATGTATATGGTAGGAAACTTTCAAGAAAGATTTAATTCATCCCATGCAACCAAAAGTGATATAGGTCAAATCAAAGTTCATAGTAGGAAAAATTTGCCTACTTTATATTTTCTTTACTTGTTATTTACATTTATTGACAGATTTCAAAGTTGATAAAGAACCTCTACATGAAAAATATTGAAATGTTTAAGCAGCCTCCGGGGTCTTTCTTAAGCCTCATAATAATGGATGGACTTTAGAAGACAAAAAAATCATTTCAAATATGCTGATCATTTTTGAAATTTTTTATTCATTTAAAAAATATACTGATCTTTTGTTTTAAATGGACAAGTTTAAACAAAATATCTTAATGTTATCTACTTGATTCGTTTTACTTTAAATCTGTTTCATTCAAAGTTTGAAAATAATTATTTTATGCCCATGAACCTTGGAAATCTATCCTACCAAAGTGAAGTAGAGAGTTGTTCAATGAACCAGTGATTCTGAAGCTAAATAGATTCCAGAGAGATTACCTTTGTTTTCTCCCAAGAGAAATTGAATTATTCAGACTTTCTCTTTAGACAATCCTTCACTTCGTTTTGGCTGAGACAGCAAAAGGATTTAAATTACAAAGAGTCTTAGAACAATATAATAAAGAGTCAGAACAATATAATAGGATGTCTTCAAGAATATATCTATGTTTCAGGACTGATGGAAACATTAAATAGGTATTCTTTATAATGTCTTCCAGGTTTCACTAAGCAACATGACACTATAGACCACACAGTAGATTTAGGTTGAATTAGAAGACACCAACAATGAGTAAAAAAACAAGTCTAGTGATTTCATAAAAATATTTACCATTGATTTTTGTTCCTAGCCAGTCTGCTTCTGTCTATGTTGTCTTGAACTACTTCAGTTATGCATTTCTAGAATTATTAGTGACCCAAGGCTTCTGTGTAATACATTGGATGTGATTTCTACAGCATGAGAAATTCATGAAATGTGCTGGATATAATAGTACACCTCTACAGATAATTTACTTTACTCAGTGGGAATTTATTAAGGAAATAGTGAAAATAGTATGCATTTTAGAGTCAAAAAGACATATATTTTTATGCCCTACTCTGATACTTACTAGTTCTGTGATACTGGAAACGTTAGTTTCCTCATCTGTAAAATAAGGATACTAGAATTCTTTTATAGGATTCATTCAAAGGTGAATAAAATAATGAATTTGAAACTGATATTAGAGCTTAACATATAGTAGTAATGATTTATAAAATATTTGCCTCTTTTAGACCAGAGCAGCTTCTAAATTTGATTTTCTAAAAAAATTAAGATCACAAAGTTGTTATGGAATAACATAAACAGCTGTGTTGAAATTAGTAGTGACCCATATCAAAGAAACACAATTACTAAAGAGGTTAAGAAGGATAATATTTAAAGTCTAAGTTTATTCAGTCTTTTGTGTGAAGGTTTTCTAGGGATAAAACAATGTACTTGGAAGCTGATGGAAGAATATGGTACAAAAATATTTTTAAATGCTTATGAATGTTCTGTAACCACAAACATAGATACATAACAGATCAAAGACGTATTTTGGACTTTTGGACTTAGCCATGTGGACTTAAATCATGGAGGCCAGAAAAGTGGCTCTTCAA